ACCCATCTCAGACATGACCCATTTCAGACATGGCCCATCTCAGACGTGACCCATCTCAGACGTGACCCATCTCAGACATGGCCCATCTCAAGACATGGCTCCTATCACACCTCTATCCTATCACTATTACTATTTGTGCCTGCAGGATCGAGCTCTTAGCTCATGGGCCCCGCCTTTCTAATCCTCGGTTGTCTAATGGACCGATTCCCGACCCAATTTACTCTATCATATCTTCTACATATATTTCACTGTCACACTCACACATCCCCAATGGAGTAGCTCATAGCAGCTGTCCTAACTTGCAAGTGCCTATTTATTGCTAGGGTGAACAGGTGCATCAGATGAAACTGCTTCGGTCGGGAACCGAACCTTGGATTCCTAGACGGCTCTCCGAACAATGTTCACTCTGTCGCAAGGTCCAGTATTTGGTGATAGTGGTAGTGTTGATGGTGGTGGTGACAATGATGGGATGGTGGTGGTGGTGATGGGTGTAGTGTTGGTGATGATGGGAATGGTGGTGGTGATGGGCGTGGTGGTGGTGGTGATGGTGACAATGATGGGATGGTGGTGGTGGTGGTGGTGATGGGCGTGGTGATGGTGGTGGTGGTGATGGTGGAGGCGTGTTGCTCCAAGGTTAACAGGTGTGACACCACCACTAAATTCCTTCTCTTCCCTCGTTGGTACCACCTTAACCCCTTCCCCTTGCTCCACCCCCCTCCCCTTCCCCTGGCTCATTACCCACTCCCCGTGGCACCTCGACACCCCCCCCCCTACCTGGCTTACCATTAGCCCCTTTATTCTGCTACGTAACACACCCGACACCATACTTATCAGCTCCCATGGAACATCACCAGTAACCGGGACACCAGTACCGGGACACCAGTACCGGGACACCGCCAACACCGGGACACTCCCATACTGGGACTCAACCACTACGACACAACAATTTAAATATCTCCTAGACAGAGGCCCAGGTTTATTATTGTGGTGACCTCCGATACCGTAGTGACATGGGGGCGTCTCCACGTGTCCTCCCTCCAACACCCGCCCTCGTCCCTATGGGCGCACCCGAACACACTAGTCTCCTAATGTACTCTTCTGCCACCCTCTCTCCTCTCTTGTGCTTCTCCCTTCCCTCCTACACTCTGTCCTACAAAGAACGTCGCTTTTCGATCGTATGCGTTACGTGAGGCCAAAAAATTGTCGTGCTAGAGAATGGAAGCGGCTGGCGAAAGTGACGTACTGTCCCGTTTTCTGTTTTGGGTCCTCTTGTGGTAGGTTAGGGGAGACCACTTTAAATTGACCGTTTTCTTGAAGTTGGGGAAAACTTAGGAGGACGGGTTGATCTTCCCTACTCCTTTAGACTGTTGCACCAGACTCCCTCGACAACCTCCCTCGGAACAGCTTCCAAGTAGCACGGGCTATGGTGAGCCCGTAACTTACCTGGCACAGGAGCGGGGCAAGTAGCACAGGCTAGGGTGAGCCCGTAGTGGACTTACCGGGCACAGGAGCGGTGCTCCACGAGTCCTCATGTTGTTTCAGATTTAGCTACTCAGAACGAAGTGTCCATGTAGCACGGGCTATGGTGAACCCGTAAACACTAGTCCTCATGAAGATGAAGCCACCCAAAAGGTGGCACGGGCATGAATAGCCGTAAGTGGTGGCCCTTTTGAGCCATTTCCAGTATCAAGAGCTGATACTGGAGATCTGTGGAGGTGCGACTGCACCCTGCGTGACGGGAGATGTCTACTATGTCGATATTCAGATTGATGAAGATTAAGCCACCCAAAAGGTGGCACGGGCATGAATAGCTCGTAAGTGGTGCCTTGACTAGTCCTCAGTCCCTAGGCCCCTCTTATACTTCCCCTCTCCCTGCTCTACCATCCCCTACCTCCCTCGCCCCTCACCCTACATTACCCTAACCCCTTACTTCCCCTCTCCTTCCAGTCCCCAGCCAACCCCGTCCCCTCGACCATGGGGGCCCAGTTAGACAGGCGGGTCCTGGGGGTCCACTACATGGAATGCTGATATCCAGGTAAGAACATAAGAACATAAGAACAAAGGTAACTGCAGAAGGCCTATTGGCCCATACGAGGCAGCTCCTATTCTATAACCACCCAATCCCACTCATATACTTGTCCAACCCGTGCTTGAAACAATCGAGGGACCCCACCTCCACAATGTTACGCGGCAATTGGTTCCACAAATCAACAACCCTGTTACTGAACCAGTATTTACCCAAGTCTTTCCTAAATCTAAACTTATCCAATTTATATCCATTGTTTCGTGTTCTGTCCTGTGTTGATACTTTTAATACCCTATTAATATCCCCCGGTTATGTCCATTCATCCACTTGTAAACCTCTATCATGTCACCCCTAACTCTTCGCCTTTCCAGTGAATGCAACTTAAGCTTTGTTAATCTTTCTTCATATGAAAGATTTCTAATTTGGGGAATTAACTTAGTCATCCTACGCTGGACACGTTCAAGTGAATTTATATCCATTCTATAATATGGCGACCAAAACTGAACTGCATAATCTAAATGGGGCCTAACTAGAGCAAGATATAGCTTGAGAACCACACCAGGTGTCTTGTTACTAACGCTGCGATTAATAAATCCAAGTGTCCGATTTGCCTTATTACGAACATTTATGCATTGATCCTTTTGTTTTAAATTCTTACTAATCATAACTCCCAGATCCCTTTCGCAATCCGACTTCGCAATCACAACACCATCTAGCTCGTATCTTGTAACTCTATCATCATTACCTAACCTCAGAACTTTACATTTATCAGCATTAAACTGCATCTGCCAATCCTTTGACCATTTCAAAACCCTATCTAGATCAACTTGAAGTGATAGTGAGTCCTCCTCCGAATTAATTTCCCTACCGATTTTCGTATCATCGGCAAATTTGCAAATGTTGCTACTCAGACCTGAATCTAAATCATTTATATATATTATAAACAACAGAGGTCCCAGGACAGAGCCTTGAGGCACTCCACTTACAACATTTTCCCACTCTGACTTGATTCCATTTATACTAACTCTCTGTTTCCTTTGGTATAGCCATGCCCTAATCCAGCTTAATATAGCACCCCCAATACCATGAGACTCTATTTTTTTAATCAGTCTTTCATGTGGCACTGTATCAAAAGCTTTGCTAAAGTCAAGGTATACAACATCGCAATCCTTACCACTATCAACTGCCTCAACAATGCTAGAATAAAAAGATAACAAATTTGTTAAACATGAACGGCCATTTATAAAACCATGTTGCGACTCAATTATTAATTTATGTTTTTCAAGATGAAGACGAATTTTATTTGCTATTATAGATTCGAGTAACTTTCCCACAATAGACGTTAGGCTAATTGGTCGATAGTTAGACGCAAGTGATCTATCTCCTTTCTTAAAAACTGGTATCACATTAGCAACTTTCCAAAACTCTGGCACTCTGCCTGACTCTATTGATTTATTAAATATGGTTGACAGTGGGTCACAAAGCTCCTCTTTGCATTCTTTAAGCACCCTAGCAAACACTTCATCCGGCCCTGGGGATTTGTTTGGTTTGAGTTTTACTATTTGTTTAAGAACATCCTCCCTGGTAACTGCTAAACTCGTCAACCTGTCCTCGTCCCCACCCACATAGACTTGTTCGGCTAAAGGCATATTGTTAAGTTCCTCTTTAGTAAATACAGATACAAAATATTTATTAAAAATACTACTCATCTCTTCATCACTATCTGTTATTTGACCTGTCTCAGTTTTTAATGGACCTATCCTTTCCCTAGTCTTAGTACGATATAACTGAAAAAACCCTTTAGGATTTGTCTTTGCTTGCCCTGCTATGCGAACTTCATAGTTTCTTTTTGCTTTCCTTATCTCTTTTTTAACATTTCTAACCAGTTGTACGAATTCCTGTTCTAAAGTGACCTCCCCATTTTTAATCCTTTTGTACCAAGCTCTCTTTTTACCTATAAGGTTCTTCAAATTCTTTGTTATCCACTTTGGGTCATTAGTATACGATCTATTCAATTTGTATGGTATACTACGTTCCTGTGCTTTGTTTAGAATATTCTTAAATAAGTTATATATTGAATCCACATCGAAATCCCCATTTAAGTCACCTATCGCTGGGTTCATGTCTCGCTCCAAGACCGGCCCACACCCCATACGCAAGCCTTTCCAATCAATTTGACCCAAAAAATTTCTTAGGCTATTAAAATCAGCTTTTCGAAAATCTGGCACTTTAACAGAATTTTCTCCTACTGGTCTATTCCATTCTATGCTAAATCTGATTTCTTTGTGATCACTGCTCCCTAGCTCACTCCCTATTTCGATGTCATTAATTTGCGTTTCCCTGTTAGTTAATACTAAATCTAAAATATTATTTTCCCGTGTTGGTTCCTTAATGTGTTGCGTAAGAAACACTATCGATAGGTAGCGCTATCGCCAGTGGTCATCAGCACCTAGAGCGAGCGAGGGGCCCCTGCCACCGCCCCGCGCAACCGTTACTTCCGTAGGGGCCCCGCGGGGCGCAAAGATGTATTGATAAATAATTGTTCTGACGCCTTAACGAGGTCATCGGCGTGGTGTAAATACATATGTCGTTCTCGCTGTCGGATTAGGCTTAGACTTCGGAACAGAGGTAGAGCAATGCTAGTGAGTTTAGTTTAGATTTAGGAAAGACTTGGGTAAATACTGGTTCGGTAACAGGGTTGTTGATTTGTGGAACTAATTACCGCGTACCGTGGTGGAGATGGGGTCACTCGATTGTTTCAAGCGTGGGTTGGACATGTATGTGAGTGGGATTGGGTGGTTATAAATAGGAGCTGCCTCGTATGGGCCAATAGGCCTTCTGCAGTTACCTTTGTGTATAGACTGTGACCCCAGCTGTATGACCAGTGACTGGTGATGTATAGACTGTGTGTTAAGCGGGTGAGAGTGTTGATGAGTGTCTACCTTCTCACGGGTGATATGTCTGCTCTCCACAGATTGGATGCTACGGGGAGAGTACTGCTACAGGTTCTTCAACATCAGACACTCGTGGGACAAAGCTGCTGCTCTCTGTAAAAGGTAAGTCAGAAGAATATCTCTCTCTCTCTCTCTCTCTCTCTCTCTCTCTCTCTCTCTCTCTCTCTCTCTCTCTCTCTCTCTCTCTCTCTCTCTCTCTCTCTCTCTCTCTCTGTCTCTCTCTCTCTCTCTGTCTCTCTCTCTCTTTCTCTCTCTCTCATGCGTTTTTTCACCTCAACTGTCACTCAGACTGCCCGCTATTTATTGCGCTTCGTAATCACACTTAGTTCGCCTAAACATATTTGGCTCCATTTTATATGGGTTTTGCACACAAAACATTGCTAAGGGAGGTTATGTTGGCATTTCACTAGTGGAAAGACTATAAGATATAAAAAGCCTTAAAATTAGAACTGTAATAATAATAATAATTACAATAATAACATCAATAACAATCAGGGTCATAGTAAAAGCAACGGAAACATAGGTAATAACCCTAATAACAGAAATGATAGTCACAGCTGGGCGGGGGGAAATCAGAGTTGCACAATCAGGCGTTACAACGTCACCCGTTTGCAACCGTTGCTGATCACTTCGGCCTGCAATAGTGCAGTCAGATCATGTTGAACTGTTTGAGTTCACAGACTCGTGCACCGGGGCCTCTAGCCGAGCTCCGCCAGCCTCTAATCACTGGCGAATAGAACAATTCCCCAGTGATTAAGAAGAAATTTCGTCTTGGATGGTTCTTGAGAATATACAGAAGGGGGAAGAACTCTTTTTTTTTTTTTTTACACAATACATCCCACCAACTGTCTGTCTGTCTGTCTGTCTGTCTGTCTGTCTGTCTGTCTGTCTGTCTGTCTGTCTGTCTGTCTGTCTGTCTGTCTGTCTCTCTCTCTCTCTCTCTCTCTCTCTCTCTCTCTCTCTCTCTCTCTCTCTCTCTCTCTCTCTCTCTCTCTCTCTCTCTCTCTCTCTCTCTCTCTCTCTCTGTGCATACCTCTTCACATAGATTGATACTTACGAAAACGCCCGGTGAAGTCGTATGTCAGAATACTTACACGAACGCTCCATCAGGTGGGTGCGAACACGAACAACCCGTCAGGAACGCGTTCGCGAAGGAATGGTGACTAATTAGAAACGAACAATGTTCAGGACGCGACTGTAACCCTGTGAGTGTGTGTGAAAACGACCCGTTATCACGACAATGCTAGAAACGACGATCCGTTATGGATAACCTGAGATAGACAACGGTCCCATGGACACTGTGACCAGGTCTTTAACTTGGTCGTTATCTTATCCGTCACTGTTCATCTTTCTATGCCCATAAACCTGTTATCTGACAGCTGTTGTAAAGATGGAGCTGTGACTGTCTGCGGGTCATCTTGCAAGTCCCTGGCCCAGTGTTCTCGGTGCTTGGCACGAGGATTGACTGGGCCTCGGCCACTGTTTTGTGGTTGTGTAAGTTGATAAGTGAAGGCGCTCACGATTAAGCGCCGTACTGGAGGAGATTGTCACTGGCCGAAGCCATCTGCAATTATTGATGGTTAATAATAAAAATAATGGTATTAATGACATTATTTCAGTATTATTATTAATATATATAATAAATTAATGGTCTAATATAAATAAATAATGTTAGCTGATTGAGACGCATCAAAACTGGGGAACAAAATACAGTTTTATATTTTTACTTTTTTTTCTAAAAATGGGTGTTGAGCAGTTGAATTTGAGCCAGCTGTGTTCAGCTTCCACCCAGCTGTGTTCAGCCTCCACCCAGCTGTGTTCAGCCTCCACCCAGCTGTGTTCAGCCTCCACCCAGCTGTGTCCAGCCTCCACCCAGCTGTGTTCAGCCTCCACCCAGCTGTGTTCAGCCTCCACCCAGCTGTGTTCAGCCTCCACCCAGCTGTGGCCAGCCTCCACCCAGCTGTGTTCAGCCTCCACCCAGCTGTGTCCAGCCTCCACCCAGCTGTGTTCAGCCTCCACCCAGCTGTGTTCAGCCTCCACCCAGCTGTGGCCAGCCTCCACCCAGCTGTGTTCAGCCTCCACCCAGCTGTGTTCAGCCTCCACCCAGCTGTGTTCAGCCTCCACCCAGCTGTGTTCAGCCTCCACCCAGCTGTGGCCAGCCTCCACCCAGCTGTGTTCAGCCTCCACCCAGCTGTGTTCAGCCTCCACCCAGCTGTGTTCAGCCTCCACCCAGCTGTGTTCAGCCTCCACCCAGCTGTGGCCAGCCTCCACCCAGCTGTGTTCAGCCTCCACCCAGCTGTGTTCAGCCTCCACCCAGCTGTGTCCAGCCTCCACCCAGCTGTGGCCAGCCTCCACCCAGCTGTGTTCAACTTCCACCCAGCTGTGTTCAGCCTCCACCCAGCTGTGTTCAGCCTCCACCCAGCTGTGTCCAGCTTCCACCCAGCTGTGTTCAGCCTCCACCCAGCTGTGGCCAGCCTCCACCCAGCTGTGTTCAGCCTCCACCCAGCTGTGTTCAGCCTCCACCCAGCTGTGTTCAGCCTCCACCCAGCTGTGTTCAGCCTCCACCCAGCTGTGTTCAGCCTCCACCCAGCTGTGTTCAGCCTCCACCCAGCTGTGTTCAACTTCCACCCAGCTGTGTTCAGCCTCCACCCAGCTGTGTTCAGCCTCCACCCAGCTGTGTTCAGCTTCCACCCAGCTGTGTTCAGCTTCCACCCAGCTGTGTTCAGCCTCCACCCAGCTGTGTCCAGCCTCCACCCAGCTGTGTTCAGCTTCCACCCAGCTGTGTTCAGCCTCCACCCAGCTGTGTTCAGCTTCCACCCAGCTGTGTTCAGCCTCCACCCAGCTGTGTTCAACTTCCACCCAGCTGTGTCCAGCCTCCACCCAGCTGTGTTCAGCCTCCACCCAGCTGTGTTCAGCTTCCACCCAGCTGTGTTCAGCCTCCACCCAGCTGTGTTCAACTTCCACCCAGCTGTGTCCAGCCTCCACCCAGCTGTGTTCAGCCTCCACCCAGCTGTGTTCAGCCTCCACCCAGCTGTGTTCAGCCTCCACCCAGCTGTGTTCAACCTCCACCCAGCTGTGTCCAGCCTCCACCCAGCTGTGTTCAGCCTCCACCCAGCTGTGTTCAGCCTCCACCCAGCTGTGTTCAGCCTCCACCCAGCTGTGTCCAGCCTCCACCCAGCTGTGTCCAGCCTCCACCCAGCTGTGTCCAGCCTCCACCCAGCTGTGTCCAGCCTCCACCCAGCTGTGTCCAGCCTCCACCCAGCTGTGTTCAGCCTCCACCCAGCTGTGTCCAGCCTCCACCCAGCTGTGGCCAGCCACTCCCAGCTGGTGCACCTTGGGGTGGGCGTTGCCGTTAGTCCAACCCTTAAATCGACCACAGTCTTTGTACGGTAGCGCTGATGGCGCGACGCCCCAGTGCTTGGCCTTCGAACCTCGTCTGTATCTTACCTGTTTATCTAGCTCCTGTACCGGTGTCTTGGACCGTGGGCCCTGCTGTACCCCAGCCTGCTGTACCCCAGCCTGCTGTACCCCAGTCTGCTGTACCCAGTCTGCTTATTCAGCCTGCTTATCCAGCTCCTCCCAGAAAGGAGCAAACTAAATTCCTTTAGATAAGGAATTAAAACATGGACAAGAGATTAAAATTAATGTTCCAAATAACATTTGGTGGAGGAAGTTGTGTAGCGGTATGAAGGGAATTACCTCAAAGGTCGTGTAACTCCAGTGTAAAGTGAGGCATGTGAGAAGTAGAGATCCGGATGTTGAGATGCGAACGGAAACAAAGCAAATGAGAAGATAACTAAATGAGGCAATCTCTCTCTCTCTCTCTCTCTCTCTCTCTCTCTCTCTCTCTCTCTCTCTCTCTCTCTCTCTCTCTCTCTCTCTCTCTCTCTCTCTCTCTCTCTCTCTCTCTCTCGCTGGCTAGCTGGCTGGCTGGCTGGCTGGCTGGCTGGCTGGCTGGCTGGCTGGCTGGCTGGCTGGCTGGCTGGCTGGCTGGCTGGCAGGCTGGCAGGCTGGCTGGCAGGCTGGCAGGCTGGCTGGCTGGCTGGCTGGCTGGCTGGCTGGCTGGCTGGCAGGCAGGCAGGCAGGCAGGCAGGTCATCCAAGAAGGTGACGCACATTTAAGACATCAGCTATCTTGCGTTTTTTCATGATTTTACAGCAGCTGCTTCCCAGCAAATAAGCTCCTTCAGACTTCAAGTTCATCGCCAGCCTGGCCCGACAGATTCAGTAAGTGGCCATTGAAATGCTTAATTTTCACTCGCAGAATGTCCTCTTCATCACTGAGCTACGAGTGTCTTCATCTCTCTCTCACACACACACACACACACACACACACACACACACACACACACACACACACACACACACACACACCAGTCCCAGGAGTGAGGTGGTGCTCTCTGACATGACCTTCTCCAGGCAGGTGTTATCACTGGCACGTCATTGGTGCACCTCAGAGTAGTACATCAGCTGTGCAAGGCTCACATACACCTCACAAAGCATATATCGCAGCTAAATGATTCAAAAGACATCAATGAATAATTATCTAAAATTCTGACCATCTTACAGAAGTTGGACAACAAGGCTCATAATGTTGTTTAAACACTTATATCGTGAAGCTAGAGAGAGAGAGAGAGAGAGAGAGAGAGAGAGAGAGAGAGAGAGAGAGAGAGAGAGAGAGAGAGAGTAAAAAATGGGAAACTCAAGGTAAACAGGGGTGAGAGAGTGGAGGCGGCCAGGTCCTCAAGCTTCGCCACTAAGCACTCATAACACGCGCACAAAGCTGGCTCACTGGATAGATGAAGGAACACATGACTGTCCTCACACTTGGCGTTTCTCCACACCTGTCTATATACGTCCTTCACACTATCCAACCCCACACCTGCTGGTAGCTCATCTAACCCCAGGCTCCAGATAGGCACAATAAAAATATCAAATAACTGGTAGCTAAAGGTAGGCTAGGAAATGGCAGAATAGAGTAGAAGTTCCTTGAACACAACCCACTGGTCTTGATTGATTGATTGATGAAGATTAAGCCACCCAAGAGGTGGCACGGGCGTGAATAGCCCGTAAACTGATCTTCAGCCTCCTCCCAGTATATTT